TTAGACAGTTCAACGCTTTGTCCACTAGCTGTTTGGAAACCAGTAAAACTAGTTGCAGACACACTGTTGTCCCATTTATCCTGAAGGGATCTGTCAATCTGCTGCATTATGGCAGCTCCTCTTTTCATTGATTCTTTCGACACTTTCACGCTCTGTCCACTAGCAGTTTGAAAACCAGTAAAACTAGTCGCACTACGTGGGTGCTCTACACTGTTTTCCTGGACGGATCTGTCAATCTGCTGCATTATGGCAGCTCCTTTTATCATTGATTCTTTAGACAGTTTCACGCTCTGTCCACTAGCAGTTTGGAAACCAGTAAAACTAGTCGCACTACGTGGGTGCTCTACACTGTTTTCCTGGAGGGATCTGTCAATCTGTTGCATTATGGCAGCTCCTTTTATCATTGATTCTTTCGACAATTTTACGCTCTGTCCACTAGCAGTCTGAAAACCAGAAAAACTAGTTGCATTATGTGAGTGCTCTGCACTGTTTTCCTGAAGAGATCTGTCAATCTGTTGCATTATCGCAGCTCCTTTTTCCAAAGATTCTCTGCACAGTTTGACGTTCTGTCCACCAGCAGTTTGGAAACCAGAAAAAACAGATGCGCTGGGTGAGTTAGATATGCTGGTGCCCTTGTTCTGTTCGAGGGATTTGTCAATCATTTGCATCATGGCCGCCCCTTTTTCTAACACTTCTTTGGAAAGGGTTACGCTTTTACCTGCGGCAGTTTGAAAACCAGAAAAACTTATCAGGTTGGTCGTGTTTGTTCCAGGTTTGTCCTCGCTTGGCATTACCTGCGCTTCTGTCGGTAAAGAGTCCTCGGCATCTTTGGAAACACAGTGGTGCTTTTCATTGGCCGAGTGGCAATCAATAGTTTCTTGCAGCCCTTCTGAGGGATCCGCCGTGAGTCGTCTCATTATGTCGCTGCCTCGTCTCAAGGCTTCCTCGGATAAAGTTACCTTCTTTCCCCCGGCTGTCTGAAAACCAGAAAACGTGGCAAAACTAGCTTCAGAAAGCTCTCCACTTTCACCATTTGCGGTTTTAAACCAACATGAACTTGCGGAATGAGTCCATGACTTGTTCTCGTCTTCAGAAACTAAATCGTGATCAATGTTATTCACTTTACCTTCCAAAGTGTTCAAAACGTCGTTACTCTCGTCGATCATTTTATCTCCCGTCTGTCTCCTGGAGTCTTTTGCAATGCGCAAAGAACGCGGTGAAACGTCAACATCTCCAGCTGGAACTGCGTGGAAACTGTTACGACTTTCCACATTCTTGTGTCGGGCCTTATAAGCTCCCTCGAGGGCCAACTCCCGGTCGATTTTATTCCAAGTAGTTTTTGCCTTGCTCAGAGCTGCCTCCGATACAGGGACGGGATTGCCACTTGCAGTCTTAAACAATACACAAGGCTTTTCTGGATTTGGAGTTGTACTTCTACAATATTCGGTCGTAATGTTCTCCTGGTATTGTGAGGATCTTTCGTGATCTGATCGCCCGCGCGTCAGGTCAGAGAACTCTTCCGTGTTTGTGAGAATTCCTTCATGATGTTCCTCGATTCCTTCGCTTTCCTCGCAAATGGTGACCAGTGAATCTCGCCTTTGTCGTTTACAGTCATTCAACAAATCCTCAAGTAAAGAGTCATTTACGATTTCACTCTGTTTACATTTCAACTCATTCACTGATTGCTCAGCGTTTTGTAAAGCCATCTCCTCAATTTCCTCTTTTATTGCCGAAGCATTTTTCCCAGATGCATCCATATTTAGCTCGTCTGGCTGTAGCATATCTTTCAGTTGTGATGCCCCGTAACGTGGTCCTTCAGAGTCACCGTCTCTCAGCCCATTTCCTGAGGTTCTTTGCTTGTTACTAATGCTGTACGATGGTTCATTCTCTCTTGTAACCTCCACAGTCTGGCCACTATCGCCAACATCCAACTCAGCGTCTATTTCGCTCAGAGTTTTTCTCGCTTGTTTCATTGCTGATTCAGATATGTGAACTTGTTTCCCACTTGCCGTAGAAAAACCACAAAATCCCGTCAACACAGATGACCGTTGTTTGTCAAAGCCGGATGTATCATCTGCTTTTGTATTAAATTTGTCAGCCGCCCCTTGTTCCTTAACCTCATTAACGTTCCCTTCTATTTTGGGTGAATATCTTTCAATTACTGGGCCAAATATCGGCTGGACAGCTGCAGAAATTCCATCAAGATTTTCTTGTGCCAATTCTGGTTGTGCTATTTCTGTTTTCACTCCTTTAGTTAAGTCAGCCCCTTCACGGAAAATATTTTCATCAACCACCTCGTCCGCTGTTGGCCTTTGCTCCTGTGAAGTTAAGCTTACCGTGGGTAGATCCAACTCCTCCAACAAAGCGTGAGCACAATTGAGAGCTTTGTCCGATATCTCAATTTTCGTTCCTCCCGCAGTGTGAAATCCCGTCTTCCATTCAGAACGCAAGGCTGGCGCGTCCTTTTGAAAGTTAACACAGGAAACTGGGCTTTCAATCACGTCGCTTTCCCCTTGGTGACTTCTGTTTTTCAAGGTTTTTTCATCACTGTGCACTACAGCACTTTGTATCTTCATGTCCTCCGCTTTACACTTTATCGATGCATCGATTTCTTGTGTAATGTTGTCAGTTCTTTTCCGCAAATCTTCGATACTCCCCGAAGACAAGACTTGCTGCTGTACTGTCGATGTTGCGATATAACCATTCAAAGAGTTTAAAGATGGGGGAGAACAAATACATTCCACAGGAAACTGACTGAGTGCATCCATATCAAAAAGGACGTCGTCTTTTGGGATGTGGTTCACTGTGGACAACAACGTATTTACATCTCTCTTACTTTCACAGAACGTTCTCATCTCGTCCGACTTAAGCCTCTTGGACATTGGCAACTCACCCTCTCCACCCTTGGGACTACTCGTGTCAATCGTAGCGCAGTGGTCAATATTCCCTTTTCCTTCTTCAGCGGTAGATTTCCTTTCCTTGACAACTCGGGAAACGTCAGCAGTTGTAGTAATATTATTTATACGCTTGCCTGTATCTTGTTTTGACACTTGACTAGCAGTCGGATATGAAAATCGTTTCGTTCCAACTGATCGCCGTAATCCGGGAACTTTACAAAACGACCTCCTCCTAACGAGGTTGCCGTGATCATCCGCTGACCGAGTGGTGGACTCGGCAGAGTTTGAGCTTGTCTTTTTATTGGCTTCTTCAGAGAGGTTGATTTCGTTTGGTGGGGTTTGAATGCCTTGTTGAAGGTCTTCAGTTGGTTGACTAGAGGTATTTAGTATCACCTGATCAACGCGCGATGACTGGGCATTCAAACTGACGGAAAGCGACGAACCTGCAAGAAAAACAAGGGTCGATAATTTTCTCGTACTTTTTGCTAGGTTAAAGCAGCTCAGTCACGGTATTTTGTGTCATTTCGGCCCAGCACAAAATAAGCTTCTGGGGTTCTTTTCAAAATTTCCGACGAGGACCCCCGTCCCTTTTATATGGGAGTCACCCCCCCCCCCGGGGGGACGATAGCCTCTCCCTCCCCCCTCCAAAGGAACAAAATGCGTGACGACACATGAGTAGGAGGCTAGGGAGACGATGACCCTTCCGCAGGACATGTTTTTATAAAAAAAAGCACCCACATTGACAGATTGCAATCCCGTCACATCTTGTAAACTGATATCTAAAATGATTTGTGAATGAAAATTTGCCTCTTTGCGAACAAGTCCTCTTGCTTGGCACATGTTACTAGCCTGCAAACTTTTGGTAAAACGTCAAGTTATAAACACCAATTTGGTTGGTGAGAACGTTATAGCTAACTTCACTTTTTTTAATTCTACTTCCTATTCATTTTTGAGCTGGCAGGAGTATCAGCTTCGGCTATCTCATGGGATCCCCCGGTCAGCGTCTGTGAAACTCAACTGGGTTCAGTCGGACGCACGCACACAAAGGCAGTTTCTGGTCGCTTGGTGAACAACTACACGCTAAGCAATGCTCCAGTGTATCGGGAAGGATATCCTTTGTACCGGTATTACATCGCCTTTCGAAAGGACAAAGCTGCGAGGATCTCTTATGAGGAAGAAAAACTAATGGATGAACGAAGAAACTTGTGTCTGGAAGACGCACCAGAGAAGAAAACGCTGCGTGTTTGTTTAGAATTCGCAAAACGACGTTTTCGGCGATTTTCCGAAGATTTCCGACCACTTTCCGAAGATTTCCGAAGATACTTCAAAATTTGTCCGAAGGCCAGACGAACGTTTTCAAACATTTTACAAAGACTTCCGAAGATAACCGAAGATGTGATAATACACCAACGAATTTAAATGCTGTTAAAGAGACAAAAATATTATCAAAAATGATATCACACATGTGGGATATCGCTTTTAACAATTTGCTACCACTCGGTCTACCTCTAGCTTTTATATAATAAAATCATAACATCGACGAACGCAGTTCACGTACACAGCGACGCGGTGTAAACTTCGTTTGAATGATTAGCTCTTGGAGTTTAGTTTCCGGGTTTAGAGGTTGATATGTTTGGAGAAGAACAAACAGATACTTAAACAACTTCAGTACAAAAGTTTATTATAGAAACCACAGAGGCACCCGTTTTCTTCTATACCTAAAACGCATGTTTAAGGTTTTCAATGACCATTTTTGACAAATATTAAACATGTTTCTGTTTGCTACTTAAACGCGGCCAATCAGGGTTTAATGGTAAAATTTCCTTTTCTTGTATTGGCTCCATCCGGTCTACTGCGTATTTAATATTCTAAACACGCCTGATCATAAAGTCGGGAGCCAGGCCAGATGGTTACTGAGGTTATGGTTTAAAACACAGCTCCTTTGTGCAAGGAACAGAACCACCAGGAGAAAGATGGGGCCTTTAAAGTCGTTCTCGATTCTGTTTTTAGCAGTGCTGTCGTTAACGCTGTGTGTTGAAAGTCGCAGTTACAGTATTTTACCGGAAAAAGGTAAGACTTGAAAGGTTTTTAGCAGATCTCACAAAACATCGCGTGACCAATGTCTGAGCAGAATTTTGAATTTGTTAACAAATGGTGGGCTTAGTTGAAGTTCCTAAGCATAAAGCGATTCCTTTTTAAAACACCTTCTCTGTAAAATTCTTATATTCGGATTCATATCGGCAATATTGAATGTTACAATAAATTTGGAAATTAAACAACCGAAAGCTATCGGTTTTATGAAACTGCCGAGGAGACAATGATAGCCTGAATCGAACTCAGAAAATCTCAAAATGCATTTAATGCTTTAAACCTTCAAATTTTGAACTAGTGAAAGGGTAACTAGTGAAAACAGTACTAAGAAAATGAATTGTTCAATTTTTTAGGTGCCGAAAGTCGACTGTCTTAGAATATTCGACACGATAATGCTGCTTAATATACTAAACATAAACTATTTAAGATGCACCAACTGATTAAGCCACAATTACTGCAATTAACGTACACGCAACCAAGAACACTTTGTTAATTCGTCTGACTTAAAAAAAAAGTTAACCGGCAAGAAATTTATCAAAATACGTTAAGAAATATAAGAACGGGGTGAATAAAATTTCAATGGTTATTCTTGCGGTATCACTGAAATACTAGTTGAAAGACACGCCTTTTGTTTGTGAACTTAAGTTTGCACTTTCGCGTCGTCTTCNGTGACAGCCACGTGTGGCAAGTCGTCAGCAGCAGGAAGCCGCGTGATTGGTGGCACGGACGCTGCTCCAGGTGAATGGCCCTGGCAAGCGAAGCTTAGAACCAAAGACTCAGGATTCATCTGTGGCGGCTCGCTCATCACACCAACATGGGTAATGACTGCTGCTCACTGCGTCTCAAGTTCTGATGATCCCAGCGTGTACAGCGTGACGATGGGGGACCTCAACAGAGAGAAACCCGAGGGAACCGAGCAGGAGTTCAGCGTCAAAAGAGTGGTAGTACACCCTAAGTACAATTCGCCGATTGCTATCAATAACGACATAGCTTTGCTGCAGTTGACACGTTCAGCAAGCAAGAATTCCTTTGTGAACACGGTGTGTTTGCCGGACGAGTCGGAGGTCGTGCCAGTTGGAACCAAATGCTACATTTCAGGTAAAAATGAACTTGTTATTGTCTCTGTCAATATACACTTGAGTAAAGAACTGCAGGCTGCACTTCACAAGCGAGCGTAGAACTGCCTCATTTTAACGACTAAGAATAAGAGAACTTGCAGAGACTGAGAGTTTCTTGTATTAAAAAAAATTGCAGCTAAATAACTGAGAGAAAAATGCAGTGGAACAAAAATCCCTTATTCGATAGTTTTAAATATAACACTTTTAACTGACAGCTTATTCTTTTGAGAAACTTACTTAACCCATTGTTTCATCGACGAAGTCTGTGTATCAGTTACGGTAAGCTCTCTAATAATTTTTAGTGATTATTGGTCAGATAGAATCTCAAATAGACCAGTTGTCGAACAAAGAAGTCGTCGGACAAAATTCATTCGGTTCTTCTTCGATTTTGACAGTTGCACGGTAGGGAACCGGTTTGAAAAACGCTTAAACCTCCTTTAGATCCTGGAAGTTTCGAGCCGATATTTTTAACCATTAAATTGCTGTTAACTGAGAATTCGACGAAATGGCATAGAATTTATCAGGTTCACGAGCATTAGGTGGATGTCTACGTTCTTCACTAAACGAGTTCCAGTCGAACAGTTGTAATGCGAACACAGTCAAAGTAGGACTGCTCGATCCGGAGTCGAGTGAACTAACCATGAGGCCACCGTGCCTCCACAACACAATCAAATAAAACGGAACTTATTCTATGTGAATGTTGTTTTGTTAATACAGGTTGGGGACAGATGACTCATCCCGACGATGCAGCCATTAAACTCCAACAAGCTCCCATGCCGGTCGTGTCCAATCGTGTCTGCCAAGCCAAGCACATGAAATCACCTATCAGCAGTGCTGGGGAGACCGCCGTGACTTCAGCCATGCTGTGTGCAGGAGACGCCGGCAAAACCAAGATCAGCGGCTGCTTTGGTGACAGTGGAGGACCTTTTGTTTGCCGAAACACCGCTGGCCAGTGGGTACAGCAGGGGATCGTGAGCTGGGGTGATACGGTCTGCTCTTCAAAGAGTCACTTCACTGTGTTTGCTCGAGTGAGTGTGTTCCGACAGTGGATCGAGGATACAATTAGCGAGTAAACCGATGGTGTTAAAAAATCACTTGCAAAGAAACTAGCGTTAAATTAAACAAAATCATGAAAATACTTTTAGTTAAACTAACAACAATAAAGCGATGAATCTGCCGATTTAGTGTTTGCGCTTTGTTGTTGTTGCTGTTGTTTTTCGTGTGAGTAATACAGACCATTCAAGAGGACCATAAGTTTGATCGCAAGAATGGGCCAATAACCGAACAGAACACAATTTGGTGGGAAATTAATTAGAGATGAAAGATTATAGCCCGCTCGCTCGCCAGGTTTACAGTTCAGATTACTACACAACGAATTATGTCAACGAATCATATTTGACAACAACAAAAACGGTTTATGCGCCTCCCAAACATTTAAGATCCCGGATTACATGAAGTCAAGTTATAAAACAAAGTCAACACAATTGACAAAAATCACTTCATCGGGTTCCAGCGGTATTTTTTTTCTTTTTTTTTTTTAAAATTTGTTTTTATTCTTTTTTTTGGAGGGGNGGGGGGGGGGGGGGGATATTTTTTTGGTTTTGTCAGCCCTGCTTGGTTGAAAAGAAACACCAACATATTGCCATGATTATGTAAAACACGTAGCCAATCACCCATCCTCATAACAACCGAAGAATAGCCACGCTCGCAGGATGGGTCATTCGCCTTTTTGTATAAAACACTCGTATGAACATGAACCAACTCGTATGAACCAGCTGGCGACCAGTTCTGAAAATTTAGTCGCCAGTGCTCAATTTTTGGTCGCATTAGCGACCAGTGAGTCGCAATTTCGAGCCCTGCTCCTATTGTGAGAAATACACTGTACTCGTGCTCAAATAAAAACTTTTGTAACAGACTCCATGTGAAAGTTGAATTGAAAGGCACATTGGACATGACTAATTGCTTTGATGGTAACTTACCACTGAAACTAAAACACTAGAAGAAAGACAAAAATAAACGAGAAGCATTTTTCATTCTTAAGACGTTTGAAACACAACCTACCTAGTCCAGAGGTTCGCGAATCTTTCTCAACTCCAGAACCCAATTTGTCTGCCTCAAGCGCCATAGCCAGTTCAAAGGACCTCGAAGGAGAACCAAACGTGACATCAGAAACTTCAAGCTTGCAATCCACTTCAGTGGCGTGACGAGTAATGTCACACGCCGCTCGTGCTTGTACTTTGTCACACAACAGGCTTGACGAATTAGGAAGCGCACTTGTATCACGTGTAAGGCTCGTGTCACCATGTCTTGTCACGCACAGTTCGTTTAGTCCTGTTATAAAACCGATTGAGTTGGTAGATGTAATTCTGGGCGTGGTTACGATGTCACGATTCTCACTGAATACAGGTTTAGGAGTGGACTGGGCCAAGGCTTTGAATGGAGTCTTAGTGGTGGGTGAAAGAAAGGTGTTTGGACCTGGCGATTGAAACAGGTTTGACTTGGGAGATGATGGAGAGAACACCTTATACTGGGAACGCCTTTCTACTGATGGTGAAACAATCAAAGGGTCTTCATTTAACGTTTCTGAGAGACTTTTGACGTCACGTCTAGATTCATCATGATAAGAATACTCCACTAAGAATTCCTCCGCTATGCAAGAATTATCTGCCGTCTGTGCTGGGTCGCGTACAGCGTCCTCTTCCTCCAGTGGTTCTAAAGGCAGGTCATTTGTTTTAGCATCGTCCATGGATAGCTCTACAGGGTCCATGGAATGATTGGCGGTCGAGCCAGAGAACAGGACTCGGGCAATACGCTGAAAAGATAACATGCCCTGATTACCAGAAAGGCTTTGAGTAACCAGAGTGCGTGTAAAAGCTTACAAAATAAGTCAGCCTCTGAGGTATAGCTCAACATTGTAACCGCATAAATTCAGTCAACACAGACTGAGGGGCTTAGAAGAATGTGACTGCTCTCGGATAGAACATCACTCCACCGCATGAGACGTCTTTATGAATATCGTGAACATTCATCAGGCCTGTCTAATTCAATGAGAGACACAAAACTATTGGGATCGACCGACTATTGACCGACTATCGACCGAGTGTTGACCGACTATCGACCGAGTGTTGACCGACTATCGACTGACTGTCGACCGATATATGATCGGTCGATTATCGACCGACTCTCGACTAATATATCGACTACCATATCGGTGGAGACTACCTACAGTAAACATGATCCAACTATTGCCTACTAAAATTATTGGTGCAGAGCCTGTCATTTGTACCTTACGAAAAGTTTGTGATAATACAGGACATGTGTAAAAATGAAATTATTTCAAAAAGAGATTACGAGATAACATTTAGCGCACCCTTGACGGAGGTTGGTCTTCTCCTTCTGTCGCGTTTTCATTCGTGTCTCCTGCATCTTCTTCTTCGCTATCACCTTCATCTGTAAAACACAAAATACAGTGAATTCGTAGGAAAAAAAAAGCGGTAGCGTGCTCATTCCAAAACCTATTCTGGAGCACAATCTGTTCCCCAGTCTTTACGACGTCGGTATTACTCGTAGACGCCGCGGAGCGGCGAAGGTCTGGAAACAAAGAAAGAGATGCTCATGGAAATAATACCCAAAACCCACTCAAAATGTATAAACTCTCCCACAATATGACGTATTTTACAGTAGAATCCCACTTAAAACCAAATAATGAAAGAAGAACCCGTAAGAGCCACGCTTTTAAGTTTGTAGTTCCTAGGGCAAAGAATGATATTTAAGTTTTCTGTCTTCCCACGAACAATCAATGAACGGAACTCTCTTCCTGAGCACACTGTGAATACAACGTTCGTGGATAGTTTTAAAGCAAGGCTAGTTAATAGTTATTAATGTTCCATGGTATTATTTTTAATGTTTTAGTTTTGATATCCCATTGTACTACTTTTACTCAGATTTTTACAGTTGGTGTGATATCTTACGATTTTCACCGACTTAACTAGGTGTAGATGTAGATGTTAGGAGTAACAAGTCCACTACTCTATTGTCAGTGACCACCAGAACAAGGCAAGGCAATTATCCTTTTTTTTTTTTTTTTTTTTTTAACAGAAACATTAATGACTGGTGGCCAATTCCAACATCAAACTCATCTTCTATTTATAGCTTACACTCTCAACCTGGTCCTACGCCAGGGACGCCTCTAGGCATTATTGTCTCATTAGGAGGTAGAACCTTTTAACTCAACAGAGCATTGTGGAAAAAGTTCTTTACAGATCTGCAATGATTTATGAATAAAAATTAAAAACGAGACAAAACGCTTCAGGCGACGTTAGGAGAAAACATTTGTTCATTCGCACATTTCACCAGCGACAACTGTACCCAGTGAATAGAAAACTATATTCAATCGATATTTGTTCTATAACACTGTCGTACACTATACATTAGACATTAGAGAACAGGTCACAGAAACGCTTGGAAGCAAAGTAAAGACGGTTTAAATTAACTCTGACAGGGTATATGGGGTTTACAGCAAGGACACTCAAACCCTAACACTTATTTTCCACCCCCACCCCCTCCTTTTCTTGTTTTGCTTTGCTTTTGGTGACTATACAATGAGGACTCTCCACGAAATGTAAAGGATTAGGTTTTATTACATTGCAAAGATGCTAATCTCTTCCATGAAATGAAGAAGCCTCATTCTATAGTCACCGTAAAGAATATGTCGAGTATTCATGGTTCGAGTGCACTTAAAGTAACGCTTTAGGATGATCTCGATGTAAAATACCACAACATTCGCTCAATAAGGCGTTCAAGGTAAGTGAAAGATTCTTCCGTATCCTCCAGTGTGATGTTATAATTGATCACCAATGAAACTCTTAACATTCATTCGATTGATGGCACACTGAAATATGCACTACTTTGTCGTGTCTGAAAGTAGCTTTAATTAATGTGTACCGCCAGGAAAAAAAATAATGCGTGCCGCTCTCTGCGGCTTGTTGGTTAAAACTTTATGTTTAATTACTTAAATCCTGAAGATATTTTGTCTCCAACAAACTAAATACACGCCAACGTTTTTTTCTCGATGACGTGGTGTCGTTAATTAAGTGACATTCGTTTGTGATGATATTTCACCCTGTCCCTTCCCAATCTGTCTTTCTCGTGAATTTAATCATTTGAAAAACGCGCAAGTCTTGAACATTTTGTACGAGCGATAGTTCACAATGTCAAAGCATACACAGCGATAACACAGTAAGAGAGCTTTGTTTGCGCCCAAAGTCCATTGCGTGCGACTACCGTTAGGAAATTTTGGAAACGCCGACGACATTTTCTCATGAAATCCCGATAATTTAATCTAAACGGCTTTTAATCCTCAAGAAAGGGTTACGCATGTTAAATAATTCAAATAAGCTGGCAAGAAAGAATTAAGCTGGAATGGAGGATTACGATAAAGAAAAAACCGTTTAATCTTACTACTGTAGCAGGTGCAGCACTTTAACAAAACAAAACAAAACGGAACATTTCTAGCAACTTATTACCTGATACACACGAATTATATCAGAAATGTACGGGCTCTCCTCGAATATCTATACGACTTAGAGGGATCTCACGGGGACCCCATAGCCGTAGGCAAGATTGTCATACAATTCAAGATGTCTTAACCCTGACCTCAATCTCTCTTCCCTGGAATAGCTATACGACTTAGGGGGATTTCACGGGGACCCCATAGCCGCAGGTACGGTTTTGATACAATTAAAGGTTCCTTAACCTTGACCTCAAACTCTCTTCTACTTGGGGTTGATTATATCTTCCCTGTCACTTAACGAGTCCCGCGTCCTGGAGTCCCCTTGTCCCAAAGTTCCCATACGATGTAAAACTGAGATCGGTTTTTGAATCTTGGAGTTAATTAAAGGCAGGTAAAATATCCCCGGGCAAAATAAGGATCAGCCGAAAGGCGACTTCGACCAACTCTGTCGAGGATCAAAGATAACAATCAATGAAATATGCTTTTTGATGTACTCTTACAAAACCGTTTAGCACATCAATAATGTATGGTATACAAGTAAAACGAATGATGACCACAAGCTCTTACAGAGCGTGGCGGCGACTTTGTACGAATTAACACATGTTAAGTACAGGGAGAAACGCAATTTAACATACCAAGCAAGTGGAAAGCGGCAACAAAGCACGAGAAAATTTCAAGTGGAAAAAAAGTCGAGATTTCACAGTTATTTATGTACAGATGTATAGACTTGAATCGTTAGTTTTTCAGTGATGTATTTATAATTGATGAGTACACAGCTTGCGAAGAGCTCCTTGACGAAAAACACGCATTTACGCTCGCAAAAAAAGATGATATAAACACCAATTAACACGCCAGGGGTAACAAAAAGGTCACAAAAAGAATTCGCTGCTTTAGAAACAACAAGTAGTTAAAAGTATTCCAGTCATTAGCGGAATGGATAAGGCGCACAGGTAAGGCAAGCTGAAGATAACGAGAGAGAGTTTGAAACCAAGATAAGCAGAGTGCCGAGCAAACACAGGATGGCGAAAACTGCCAGTTAATTCTCGAGTCAATTTCACTGTTGTGCTAATGGAGGGCTGTTTCAACGCTGATCATTAACACTTGAAAAGGATTTCTCCTACCTCCAGCTGGTCCTTTCATCTTCAACGGAGGAGTTGCCATCGATTCCGACCATTCTACAATATCATCGTCGCTACCACCCGCTAGCAAGCAAGACAGCGTCGAGGTTCTTTGGCCCTAGGAAGGTACAAAAACAAAACAACAGCACTCCACAGTCTACATCTACCATCTCATCCGTCGCTCGCCTGAGTTCCACGTTAACATAACAAAGCCAACGAGCAGGCCATTTTAGAGAAAATTGAGAATCTTACTGCTCGCAAGATAGGAGTTGACGGCGTGCGACTGGTTGAAACGAGGTACAAGATTTCATTTATTGTCACTTGCCACTGTGTGTAAGGTGAGTTTGCCGTGTAAATAGCACACATTCTCAGTGCAGTATTTAAGTTACCAACAGGAAAGGTCAGAAAACTAAACTGTTCAGCTTTATTAAAGAAACCCCCTGGTGATATCGAGCTACGTGTACTCCTAAAAAAATATATAGCGCTTTAATGAAAATCTTATCCATAAGTGAATTTGGCAAAAGGTTACTGTTTTTACAAGATGTTAGCGTATTCCACTTGATGTTTTAAATAAAATGCAGTCGCCTTAACGCCTAATAAACATTTTTGAAAATAAAGTCAAAGTCAAATTGAAGTAAAGTTAAAGTTACAAATCTACAGATTTGTATTCTGTGAAATTCAGGTCTGATTCCACTTTAGTTCAAAGCTTTACGAATGCCAATAGATCTTCGCGGCAAGGTTGAATTTACGAGATTTGTTCTGTCTACGAAAACTCTCTTACAGAACAGGTTCATCACGAAGGCAGATGTTGAAAACCAAGGAAGTCAAACAGTAAAACGATTAATTGCTGTATATACAAGCGTTTACAGAATATTTTTAAAAAGGTGTGAATTCGCTCAAGACGTTAGTAACTAATATGAGTATTTTTCAAATGAATTACTCAAATAATTATTACAATATTCAAAACAATTAAGACTGGGACAGAAGTTTTTTCGATATGATAATTTTAGCTTTGCTTTTTCACATCAGCTTTGTGGAATCTCCGTGGTACATGTACGGAACTCGAAAATATAAACAATAACATTCTTGTTCACTGTGAATAACGTTTTTGGACGAAACAATCGAAGTACAGGCATATGTAGAACTGTATGCTGTTACGACTGAAAGGCTTCCTCGATAAACGTTTGTATATCAATTTGAAAAGCCGCTACCATTTTGTTCAATAAATGGGAGAAAATTATTCCATTACGTATTACTTGAAACCATGAGAAAATATACAATAAAATCTGGTACCAGCAGGTCACGTTTATTTATATATATAATCGTGCTAATATAACTTGAACGTGGATACAACAATTATGACAGACAAGCTGAAAG